AAAAAAAAAAAAAATGGAGAAAAGCCTCAGGACTCACTGCTCCTGCAGCTTTGGGGCTTCAGGAGGCTCCCCACATGGTGAGGGACAGCGGGGATCACTCCCTGCCAGCAGGAGCAGTGAGTGCAGAAGTTTTCCCGGGTTTTTTTTTTCTTAAAGGGCCAGAGCCATGGGGGGTGGGACAGCCATGGTGAGGCTGGGAGAGCTGGGGGTGTATCAGGGGGCTTGTGCCGAGCCCCCCATGCAGCATGGGGCAGTAGAGAGCAACGGGGATCGCCCCCCACCCGGCAGCACCCGCTGAGTCAGGGCTTTTTGTTTTTCCAAGCGCCGGGAGCTGGGGCAGGCGTGGCAGCCATTGCCGGGTTTGGAGGGGGTGGGGGATGGGCCTGGCTGATTTGGAGATTCAGAAGCACCAGAATCTCTGAATCAGATTCATCCAAATCTATTTGGGACAGTGGTTCGATTCACCCAATCGAATCACTGTCCCCTGGATCGGCCAAATCCACATCCGAAGCGAAAACTAGCCTAGCACAGGCCTACAAGTCATGTTGTGCTTACTGGCCCCATCTACATAAAACACTACTGTGCAGCAGCATCAGAAAAAACTGTGTGGATGCTACTGTGTAGTAACACTGGATACAGCGCAGTCATTTACTACTTAGTTATGCAGACACTAGATGACTGCACAGCAAGAACTGTGCAGTCCTCCGCTTGTATAGACATGGCCGCTGGAGAGTAACCTTGTCTTGTACTTCAAAGTCTGATCCAAACAGTGCCAGCATCTAGAACAGAAACAGTTGAAAGAAACACCACCCCCTCTTCTTCTAAGAGCACAGGGCTTTTCTACTGTTCATCTGGAAGTCTCTTATCCACCTTTTCCCAGGAGCTCTTTGGATTATAACTTGTACTGGTTAAACTCAGGGATTGCCCACGTTGATACTCTCAGTAAAACTACTATGAATACACTTTTTAAAGTTGCTTGGTTAAGCTGCATTAAACTTTTATTCAGAATTAATGTGGTCGTACTGTGATTTCTCTCACCACTTTCAAATTAAGTAAGTAAAATTCAATTAGACCCACTTCAGTTCTGAATGAGACTGTTTAACCGGGATTCAGTGCAATTTAATTAATGCACTTTAAATTCACCCTTTTAGTTATTTTGGATTGAATTTCTGGAGTATCTTAGAGCAGACGAGCCCACAAATTATTTTCAGTAAGATGGTGTAACTTTACATATATGTCTGGCTTATATCAGTTTAGCAGGCAAAACCGATATAAACCAGGTTTTTTATATTAGAGCATCCACATGCAAAGCTAAACCAGTTTACATTGATCTGCATAAAACCACACTTTTTTCTAAAACTGGTACCACGTTGTGAGTAATTTTGCTTTTTCAACTCATGCAGGTCTGTAACAGGGGGCCTTCTCAGGGACAATTTGACTTTGGCCTGCTCACCTGTTTCTGGGCCAACCGCCCACCTTCTTTCCTGCCATGCCTTGATGTTAATTAATTAATTGTTGTTAATTAAGCAGGAGGCTGCCCATTTCCTTGCCCCAATGCCAGGGGGCACTATCTGCAGCTCCATACCTCCTCTACACCGCAGCCCATGCCTCGCAGATGGCATCCAGCTGTTACTCTCACTGGGCCCTAGAATCCTCCTGTCAGGACCCCTCCAAGATCCCTCGAATCAGGGGGCCTACCCCACCTTCATTCAGGCTATCTAGCTCCCTCAAACTATTTTCCCCTCTCGGGTGTGGTCCCCCCGGGACCTTTGGCCATACAGGCCCTAGCCTCACCTCACCTCCAAGGCCAGTCGGAAACGCCAAGCCCTCCTAGCTCTGGGCATCCCTCACGGTGGGCCCCTGGCCCTTTTGACTGTCCTGGTCCTGGCCCCAGTATTGACCAGTTGAGGTTACTCTCTTGATCAGGACTGAGTCTGAGAGGGCTTTAAACTAGGCCCGCTGGGGGACGGGGGGACTACCGCTACTGCTGGCCCACTGAGCAATCCTTGCAAAGCCAGCGGATCACGGCACTTAAGGGATCCCACCCCTGCCCCAGCCCTGGTAAAATCTGTGGGCAAGGAAGGAGCCCCCCAGGGGGCACTTGCCTGCCTGTAAACTAATGCCAGGAGCTTGGGGAATAAGCAGGAGGAGCTCATTCTCCTGCTCAGTGCAAACAATTACGATGTCATAGGGATAACGGAGACCTGGTGGGACTCCACCCATGACTGGACCACGGGGATAGATGGCTATACCCTGTACAGGAGGGATCGTGTAGAGAAAAGGGGCGGGGGGGTAGCTCTCTATGTTAAGGAAAGCTACACGTCCCTGCAA